AGTCAGACGCACACAAGCACAAGGACGTTATTCCAGTAAAGCGCCGCATCACACTGTCTTCCTTCTCCAGCGCAACTTTTTCTTTTAGGCTATCCGTCTGTTTTCTTCTTCTTCGTGCGGCGCCTTTCTTTTACCCTTTTTTTTTTCGTTTATGTTTCCTCTCTCTCTATCTCTCGTCTTTATTTTCTTTCTTTTTCTTTTTTCGTTTTGCGTGTGCGTGTGCCTCATCTCTCATCAGTCCACTACCGCCGTCGTCTTTTCCCCGGCGGGCACGCCCGTCAGGGGGAGCGCGTTGCTCCGTTTTCGCCGCGCCTGCCCCGCTGCCGCCTTTTCCTCCCCCCCGCCCCCCTGCTGCCTCCGCCGCAGCGCTCTTCGCTCCCCCACCCCCTCCAAAAAAAAAAAGAAGAAAAATTCGCCACGTCGTTTGTCTCCCGCTGGCAACTCTTCGGAGCGTCGGGGCGGGCGGGAGGGATGTCACACGGCAGCCGCGGAAGAGCCACAGCTCGGCAGGCGCACAGAGGGGAGCAGGAAACAAGTAAAAAGAAACAAAAAAAATGAAGATGCACCGCGTATGTATTTCTAGTTATAAATAAAGAAAATCATACAAACATGTATCTATACATATATACATGTTTATATGAATTAGTTACGCCTTCTTCTTTCTCCTGCTCTTCTCCAGACTGCTGCTGCTGCTTCCGCTACCGCCGCCTTCCTGCTTGTCCCTGTCCGCCTTCTTCGTGCCGCGGGCGGCGGCGGCGGCCTGGGCGGGGGCCTTACTTTCATTGCCCTCATTCGCAGTAGTCGCTGCTGTGGGGGCGGGGCTGCTGCTCGCAGGCTTTGCCATTTCTTTTTGCAGTTGCCGCAGTGCATTTCTGTTGCGCCAGAGCTCAACCTCCGGCGCAATAATCGCGTACGGCAGCCGCACCCAGTAGTATATGAGCATGAGCACCAGCAACGCACTGGTCAGCACCAGCGCGGCGGCGAGGATGCCGTTAAAAAACGTCCCCAGCTCATTATCGGGGGCAGCCAAGTCCAATACCGCGGTCACGCAACGCTCCTGCAGCCCCGCCCAGTCCTTCTGCACGACAAGATCGAGGTACTGCCGCAGGGAGAGAAGCAGCCCGTCGACGGTTAGTCCGTAGGTGTGGTGCAGAAAGAAGAGCTGCAGCCACACTCGCCAGACGAGCTGCGGGATCACCACCGCCGCGAGGAGGAATGGAGCGAAGAGGAACAGCAGGACGCACATCGAAAAGAGCGTGGCCCAGGGCACTAGCGCGAGGCTGGCGGCCCGGGCGTACATCAGAGCGAACTCTGCCAACTCCCACAGTCCGCCTTTTTCCTCTTCAAAGCTTCGATTCCTCTTGCGCAGCTGAAGCTCGTCGTAGGCCTTTTGCGCCTTCGCATTAAAGGAGCGGACAACCTCCTTGTAGAAGTCCACGGCCGACTTGTACTCCGCCACGTTAAAGAGCACCACCCCACGCAGCGTCTCGCCGTAGAGGCGCAGGTGCAGTATGGCGTTTTCCAGCAGGTACTTCGTCCGTCCAACGAAGTCCTCGGCGTCGGGGTCCGCCGCGGAGAGTGCGTTCACCTCACGAATACACGTGTGCGGCAGGCTGCCGTGGGACTTCATAACCGACTCATCAAACTTCCGCGCCGCCGCCGACGCGGATTCGAACTCGGCCCATGCGGCTTTCAGACGCGTTTGCGTGTCACTGCTTGGTCTCCGCTGCCCGCTTCTCTCCTCCTCCAAGATGCTGCGTAGCTCGTTCAGCTCGGCGCGCGCCCTCGCCACCAACGCCTCAACCCCCGCACGCCTTGTCAAGGTCTGCAGCAGGTACGCCCTCACCCCCTCGGCGCAACTCATGTGAGCTGGCGCCGCGGAATACTTCGGGGCGCCTTCCGCCGCAGCGAGTGTCGCGGCGTCCAGCGCGATGCATGCGAAAAGTACCACCGCAAGCAGCACCCACAGCCCCCGCCGACTCCCGCAGCGAACGCCGCGTTTTGCAGAGCTCGTGCCTGTGTGCATCTCCTACTCACTCCCTTTGTGCTTCGCTTTATCCTTATACAAGTAAACTCTCCCTCTAGCACGGCCCCCAGAAAAGATAGAAAAAAATAAACAAATAAAAAATAAAAAAAGTAGTGAGCAGCGGGCAGGATGCTCGGCTGCGCGCTCGGTCTGCGGACAGGGCCAGTGAGGCCTCGCGCGGCCGACCACCCGCAACACACACACAGGCGGCGTCACGCGAGGAAAGAGCAGGGGGCTGTGGGTGGGAAGAAAGCCGCAGCCGCCCGCCTCCGCCAACTTTCACCGTCGCACCGCGGCCGTGGTGAACTTCTTCTCCGAGCTTGTGGCGGCTTTCCCGCTCTTCCCGGCTCTGTAGGCGGCGTCAATGATGGGCAGCAGGTCCTCCGCCTCGATGAAGAAGTTGATCTTGTTGTTGTTGCCCGTGCCCACGTCCACGCGGATGTGGGTGTTGCGGAAGAAGAACATCAGCGCAAACGGCTCCCGGTCGTGGCCCAGCTCGTACATCGTGTTGAACTCTGGCACCTCCGTCGTCGAGACGGCGTAGATGACGCAGTACTTGCGCACCTTGGGGGCGAGGGCCGCGAGCACCTCGTCCATCTGCCGCGTGGCGATGAAGTGCGGCGTCAGCCCTCCGCCGCCGGGGCCCTCGCCGTCCGCCGCCGCCGCAGCAGCCGGCGGCGGTGCCTCGTAGTGGCTGAAGCGCACCAGCACCAGCCTGTCCCCCTCGAGAACGATGTGGCGGTCCACGTCCCAGGCGGAGTGCAGGTGCTGCAGGTCGCCCATTTCCCCCTCGCCCCTCACCTCCCGGAGCGGTCCCAAGCAGAACCGCCAGGCAAAAGCAGTAGCCATTGCAAAAGAGAGTGAGAGAGAGAGAGAGAGAGAAAGGTGAGTGGGGGCCATGAAAGAGCAACACGCGCAATGGAAAAGTCCAGCAAAGCGGGGCGAAGAAAAAAAAAGACAAAAAACACACACACACAGACGCACACCTTCTTCCCCAGTTCCCGAAAAGTGAAAAAAAAAACTACTAGTAATAAAAATACATGAAAAATGTATAAAGACAAATACTCAGAAGTTCAGCAAAGTAGCTAAGCAAGCACACGCAGAAAAAGGGGATCACGACTCCTGCGGCCGCAATCCACTGGCCACGTTTTACCCTCCCCACACCTTCTCACTTAAGCTCCTACAGCCCGCACGCGGCCCCTCTCTCTGGGCAGTTTGCTACGCCGCACTGTGGCTGTTGCCGCCACACCGTGCATTGCCCACAGCGATGAAGTCGCACACAACGTCTATTCCCGGCCGCCGTGCAGGCTTCTTCTCAGGGGTGGTGGCGACGGGAGCACTCAAGCATGCGATCCATCACCGCCTGCGTTTTCCAGGCGAGCGTGGCCCAATACCGCCGCGGCTCCTCCCTCGCCAGCAGTTTCCCGGTTTGGTCGCGGTAAAGGATGCGTCCCACGTCCACCCACATCCTGTCACGTTGCGATTCCGTGTGCTCGTCGGTGCTGTATGCCTGCACCTCCGGCGCGGTGTCCCTCCTGCACGGGTGCGCCACAGTCCGCGGCTTCGTGACGGTCCACCCCGCGGGTTTGCCGCTGACCGGGTGACACATGTCCGTCATCCGCAGCACGCCCTCAGTTCCCGCCACAGTGAGAGTTGCCTCGTCCATCGAGTCAAACGCGGCAAACATGGAGGCGACGGTCTTGTTGCCGTCCACGTCAAAGGTGAGTTCCCCGGAGAATTGCACGATGGCGCCCTTTTCTCCGCCCGTCTTTAGAATGCGGCCGGTCACCTCCACCGGAAGCTGCAGCTGCATGATGTGCAGAAAGTAGCGGAGGCTGTACCACCCCAGGTCACCAAGTGCCCCGTGAGGCTCAAGCGCGGGGTCCATGCGAATATCTTTACTATAGAACTCTTCGGACGCATTGAGACAGTGGTTGGAACACATGTGTTTGATGGGCCCCAGCGTTTTCGCTGCAGCCGCCACTGCCTGTACGCGTTTGCTATGGGAGAGCATAGTGCCGTCCATGTAGAGCAGCTCCTTTGCGTCGAGGGCCTCCACCCAGTGGCGCAGCTGCTCAGCCGTGGCCGCGGGGGGTTTTTCACCCACGACGTGCTTCCCGTTCTCCACACACTTTGCCACCCACTCGTCCCTCCTCGCGACTGGGACGGGCAGGTAGACAACCTCCACCTCAGGGGAGGAAGCCACCTCAGCGTACGTCGTGACGCGCGGGCGCCCCGGCGCGGGGATGGCGAGTGCGTCGCACACCTCCCGCACATACGCCGCCCCGCGTTCCGCGTCGCGACACCCAAGCAGCGTCACTCGATGCCCCGCGCGGTGGATGGAGCCCCACACGAGGCGGGTAATGTTGGCGGCACCGAGAAGGCCAACTCTGGCGCGCGTCACGTCCTCCGGCATCCCGATACGGGGTAGGCAGATATATATATATATATATCTGCACTTCTTCGCGTGTTGAGTGCTTTTTAAGCAGAGAAGAACAAAAACAATGACGTAGACAGCCGAGTCGTTGCCGGGGGTCAGTCATTCCCGGCAATGGCAGCAAAGAAGCGCAGCGACAGCGGCGGTGCGGGCACCACAGAAGACGCGGTTTTCCGTCTCTTTCGTTCCCTCCTCTACGTGCGTATTTGCGTGCGTTTTGTTTTCCTTTCATGTTGTCTGCTGTGCGCTGTCATCCTTTCCCGCCCCGTCCCCTGTTTTCTTCGTTACTGCCATGGTCTTCGTCGTGGTCTCGAGCATCGCATCAATCACTGCCTGCGTCGACCACGAGCGCCTCATGTGTGCCGCGGCCGCGGCCGCGCTGGTCACGAAGCGTGAGGCCAGTCGCGGGGTGCGACCGTGCGGGCGGGGCGCGAGCGTGTCCCGCAGGCGCCGCCAGGGAAGCTCCGTGCACTCCACCGCCTCCGCCACGCGCACTTCCCTCTCACGGCGCACGGTGCGGCGAAGGTGCTCGCCCTGCACCGTCTCATGCGAGGCAACCGTGAGGCGGACGTTGCCGTCCTCGTCGGGCACGGGGACGATGAGGTCGTGCAGCGTCACGGAGCCGGCGGTGCCGTAGGCTGTGAGGAACTGCTCGGCGGCGGACGATGATGCTGGTGCCGCATGCTCCACATGCATGCACACCGTGACCTCCTGCGATCCCGCCGCCGGAAAGAGCAGCTCCCCGGAAAACTCCGTGATGCTGCACCCCGGTGCGGCATCGCGCTGCAGGGCGCGGCCCAGTACCGCGGTTGGCATCGTGTCCTGCATGCCGTGCAGGACTGTCGCCACGGCCATCCACCCCAAATTCCCAAGCACACCAAACTGTGAGTCCACACCGTCGCACGTCGCGGGGAGTGCCTCGGAAAAGTGGCCGCTGCCGCCGCTGCTGCAGCACACCCGCACCGCTCGAAGCGGCCCAACGTCGCCGTCGCCGGCGTCGCTGAACATCCCCCACAGGCGCTCCAGCCGGGTGCCTTGCATCAGCACCGCGCCATCGGCGAGGAAGAGTCGCTGACTGTTGGCAAGCTCCATCCACCGTTGCAGCACCGCGGCGGAGGGAGCCGCAGGGATAGAAAGAAGCACGTGCTTGCGGTGTCGGATGCACCGCTTCACCCACTCATCCCGCTCCTCCAGTGGGAGCGCCACGTACACGACATCCACCTCTCTGCAGGCGACGAGCTCATCGTACGTGCATGTCTTCACAGCTGCGGTTTCCTGCGGCGCCGCGCCCGACGGCGGGGTTCCCTCGGATGGCGCGGGTGGCTGCGGTGCAGCCGCGGGCTCTGGTTTTTGTTCGGTAATGTTCCCCAGCGGGGAATTCGTCGCCGTCGCCTCCTCCTGCGCCCCCACGGCCACCAACACGAGACCTGCACGCTGCAGGCTCTGCCGGACCCGTTGCGCCGCGGTGGCGGCCCCCAAGACGCCCACGCGTGGGGGCCCGCCGTGGAGCGCAGCAGCCGGTCCCCCGCTCATCATCGCCCATCCGCCGCTACCCTTCGCGTGCGCGTGCGCACAGATGGTGATCGAGAGAGACGCCCAAGAAGAGAACTTCACACGGGCCGAGGCAACGCGGGGAAGCATCTGCCGCGGAAGCAAATAGGCAAAGATGCCGCGCACGCATCGTTTGAGTTTTTTTTATTTCTTCTTTTATTCTTCTTTTTCTTTGCTCACTGGAAAAAAAAAAGGGAATAGTTACGAACAACACCTCCCACCGCGATCGCAGTGGGGAATTACGGAGAAGATAAAAACAATCGATGCCTTATGGCCGCCGCGAGCCCCACCCCCCACCTGCATCGGCTACCCCTCCACCAACACTACGCTCATACGTTCCTTACACACACACACACACACAGAGACATAGAGACACGTGCATATGTATGGGCATCTATGATTCTATTCTATGTTCCTTATCGCTTTATGTACGGCAGAAAAAAAAATTTATGTATATATCTTTGCTTCTCTGTTTTTTTTTTTCTCTCACCCTCGCTCACACCCACACTCTGCCCTCCTTCTCAGCCACCGCTGGAATAATGAACAGCGGCAAGTGGAGGAGGTGGGCAGAGTGGCAGGCGCAGAGGCGGTAACTACGCACAGCAGCGCCTCCGGTTGACCTCAGCTCCGTTCTGCCGTTGTCGACGGCGCCGCCTTTGCTGCCCCGCCCGCCCCTGCCGCCTTGTTCAACGCGGCTATGCGCCCAATGCGCTGGTACGAACTCCACCAATCGTTGTCCTGCAACTTGCAAAGTTTGTCAATATCAAAGCTGCTCCACTTGGACTCGCAGATGCCGGGCCTATACTTTGTAGGGCACTTCTTACTGGCCTCCACCCACGCATCGAGCAACTCCTCCATGGCAGGCCGCTCCAACGACTGGGCGTCGCGGAAGTGGTGGGCAATGCGGAAGGCGTTGATGCCGAGCTTGATCCACGAACGCCAGTCACCAACGTCTGTCTCCTGCATGCCGGTGCGAAGCCACATGGAGACCGTCTCCACCGCCTCCCGCTCGGTGAGGGGGAGCAAAACGCGTGGAATCGTCGCCGGCCCCTTCGCAACCCCGCCGGCACCGGCGCTTGCCCCCTCCTCGGGAACTGTCTGTGTTCGTGGGGCGTCAAAGTGAAGTAGACGCGAGTACGTCCCACTCTCGCGTACGCAGGCGGAGTGGAGCGCTGCGACGGCGTCGGGCACGACACCATTCGGGAAGCCAATGTTCCACTTCTTGTCCTCATACACAGTTATCGCGCTTGTGTGGTTTTCCTTCATGCAGCGATGCATTCGCAGCATTCCGTTCGGGCGGTATATCTGCAGATCAACGTGTGGGGTTTTCTTGTGAAACCGATGAAGAAACCCGTGGAGGGAGTGGTAGTCCTCAAAGGCCGCATCCCGCAGCTTTGTGTGGACGTGAAAGGAGGCCTTCTTCAGGTTTGGCGACTGTAGCACAACCTGCGAGGCGATTTTCTCCCCAATGGCCCCGATTTCTTCCGCCAGCACCGTCATGGTATCGTCCAGCAGCTTCTTTTGAAATGGGCGAACCTTTGACATGCTCCAGTGCTCCGGCGGCACGGGGCAGTCAATGTCCAGCACCAAGTCAATGGGCGTCTTCTCACGACCAAAGATGGCGTGCACGGTGCGAATCGTGTCAGGCATGGTGGACACGGCGTTGCTGGCGATGGCAAGTGGCGTACCGGGCCAGGCAAAGAATTGGCACCCGCCCTGTGGCAGCCGCCGTGCGAATACGCCATCGCTTGGGGTACACGCCGAAAGCACATCCTCGATGCGAAACGCCTTAATCATCGGAGTTTTCTTCTGCGACGGCGCACTCTTCTCTGGTGTCGGCGGAGGAGTCGCGGTGGTCGCCTCTTCTTTCCGCTGCTCCATTTTAGGCTGCCTCCGGACCCCCTCCGCCGCCGCGGCAGCCTCTGCAGGGGGAAGAGGAGGAGAAGCGACGGCGGGAGTTGCCTTTGCGTCCCCCTTCTCCTCTTGGCCGTGGGGCTTTGACGTGGGCGGCGCCGTCGCCGTCTTCTTCTTGCCCTTCTTCTTCTTCGACGGCGGCGGCGGCGGCGGCCGTCCCTCGCTGCTCGCAGGGCCGTCGGCGGGGTCCGCGCCCTTCGGCGCCTCCGCCGCACACGACGGGGCATCGCCGGCGTCATCAGTCGACCCGACGCGTGGCGCCGCGACGTCGCCGCCTGCGGGCTCGCCGGGCGTCGCGTCGGCCCTTGCTGCCTTTTGCTTCCGCAGCCTCCTGGCGAGCTTCGCGAGTTTTGACGCCACAACCGGCTCCGCGTTTGCCTTCTGCCGCATGGCGCTCTCCGCCGCCGCCCGCACCGTCGCTGCTGCCGCCGAGGCCTCCGCGGCGTCCCCCGTCGATGCGGGAGGGGCCGTTGAGGCTGCCGCGGAGGTCTCAGAGGCGGCAGCAGCAGCAGCAGCGGCAGCCGCCTTCGGCTTGCCGTCGCCGGCCTCCTTCTTGGCAGTAATGCTCGCAAGCTCTGCGATCAGGCGCTTCGACGCCTGCCGCGCGGAAAGAGAGAAGCGAAACATCCCGTCCCGCGTCCTCTTTCTCTATGTGCGTTTTCCTGCCGCTTCCTTTAGCCGCGCCCACCAGTTGTGTGCGTGTCTGTGTGCGCGCCGACTTGCCCTGCGCTTCCCGCCGCGACGCGGTGGATGGCTGTCCTCCCCGTTTTGCGTCTGCCTCCCGTCCCGTCTCGAGTCCGCAGCGACGCCACCACCGAAGAGCAGCGAGGGCGCGGCAAAACAGGGCACCTGCAGGCAGCAACGCCGACGAGAGGTGCAGCAAAAAAAAAAGAAGCAAAAAAGAAAAGGAATTTGAAGAAAAAGAAGAAGAGGGTGGGAGCGGGCGTGAGGCAACGGCGGGAGCAGCCGCAGGCGGCCGCTGGGCAGCAGCTCGGCGGTAGCGAAAGGGCGTGTGACACAGGGGCGGCGTGCGGCAGCGACGGCGAAGGTAGAGTACAAGGCAACCGTCCCGAAAAAACAAGGAAAAATACAGCAACAACACTTACACCATTTGAAAAAAGAATTCCCGCATACACACACACACACGCAAACATACACAACAAGAAATCAAAAGAAAGTGGAAGAGAGAAAATGACGCGGAAATGTATGCATGCATGCATGTATGCGAGTGGCGAGAGCAATGGGGAGGCGAGTGGGGGGGCGGGAACTTGCCACACGCCCCCCCACCGCCCAAGAAAAAAGGCACACGCAAAACAAGGCCAGCGATGCGTTGACGCGTGCATACCTCCGCTACTCCGCATTATCGCCCTCACAGCACGCCTTTGCCACTTTGCATACCCTCTGCCTCGCCGAAGCTCCCCCACCTTCCTCCCGCCTCCTTGGTTTTATCCACCTTCCGTTAACTCCTCCCCCAAACCCAAGCAAGCAAGCAATAAAAATAAAACCCCACGGTAGAGAGGGGGGAAGAAGGCAGTGACGCGTACTCAATTCGCTCTTCCCGCAATCAAATGTTTGCGAGTACGGTGGACACTGCGGTCTTGTCATCGCCACCCATATTCAGCGTGGCCCCCAGCGCCGGGATCTTCTTGAGCTGATAGTCCCCACAGAGGCCCTTCATCTGGCGGTAGACTTCCATGATTTGCTTGACGCCCGTCGCCCCAACGGGGTGGCCAAAGGCAAGCAAGCCACCCCCGGTGTTAACCGGTATGCGTCCCTCCAGTGCCGTGTCCCCGCTGCGGATGACATCCTTCGCCTTGCCGTACTCGGCAATGCCGAGGGCCTCGTACATGAGCAGCTCCGCGATACTGAAGCAGTCGTGCACCTCGGCCACCTGCAGCTCAGAGGGTTTCACGCCAGCCAAGGCCAAGGCTTGCTGGGCAGCGGTGCGGGAGGTCGTCATGCGTGTGGCGTCGGCGGGGTCCTCGTAAAGGTTGCCTGCGGCGGCGGAAAGCGATTTCAGCTCCACCAGGCGGCTGTCGTTGACGGAAATTCCCATTTTCTGCAGACCCTCCTCACTCGCAAGGACCACTGCGGCACCGCCGTCACTCACCTGCGAACAGTCTGTATTGCGGAGGAACGGCTTGTACGCCTCGTTTCCGAGGAAGTTCGGGTTCCTGTCCGAGGCGTTCGTTGCAAACTCCAACGATACTTTGCGGGCGTGCATGTGCGCCAGAGGGTTTTTGTTGCCGTTGGCGTATGCTTTTGCCACCACGCGGGCGGTGTCTTCCATTGTGAAGTGGCCGGACTCCTGAATGGCCTTCATGCGCTTCGCGAAGAGACACGGGAACGTGAAGTCGTCAAGACTGCGCTGCCGCTTGTAGTCGGCGGCGCGCGCCAAGTAGTCGCCGCCGACGCGGGCCGACACCGTCGTCTGCACCTCCACCCCGGCCACCAACGCCACCTGCGCGGTGCCCGCGAGCAAGGCCTCCCACGCAACCTGCACCGCCAGCCCACCGCTCGCACAGGCGCCCTCCACGCGCATCGAGGGCTTGTTCATGAAGGCCGTGCTGCCCCGTAGGCTGCCCACCGCCGCCGGGCCGAGGTGCCCCTGCGAGGAGAAGAGCTCGCCGAGGAAGTTCCCAACCACAAGCTTGTCCACAAGCGCCGCGCGGCCATCGCTGCTCAGCCCCGTCTTCTCCAGGGCGCCACTGATGCTGTCGGCCAGGAACTCCTCCAGCGTTTTGTTCTGCTTCTTGCCAAAGTCGGGGTGCTTCTTGTCGATAAAGAGCGGGGAGCCCTTGCCCACGAAAGGGGTGATGTGGCCACCGACGACAAAGACGCGCCCGGCAGCGAGCGCTGCGGCGGTAGAGCGGAGCATGTCTTTGCGCGTTCTTCTTCGTGTTGCGTGGGTCCCGGTTTTCCTCCTCCTCCTCCTCCTCAAGACGGGCGAGGCGACGCAACGCCCGGTGCTTCAGTTGCTCGCGCCCAGCACCTCCTCCACCTCTTTGGCGTACTCCTTTAAGTCAAAGTTAAAGGAATAAATCGCTTAATTAAGAATGAATCAAAAAAAAAATAGCCTTTCTCTCTCTTTATATATATATATATTTATTTATTGTTTTATACCCTTAGTTTGTTTGTTTTTCTTTTTTGATTCCTGCCTGAATTCACACACTTTCGGGGCGACGTTGGAGGTCGACGACGAGAAATGAACGGCACACACACACACAAAAGAAAAAGAAGAGGAAAGAAAAAAAAAGACATTCGGAGTTTACGTGCCGAGGGGGGTTGCGTGTCTGCGTGGCAGGCGACGTAGTTGCAGGCCGTAGTTGCTTTCACAGAGAGAGAGAGAGAGAGCCCCCGCTTTTTGTTTTTGTTTTTTGTTTTTTTCGTCGCCGCTTGCCTCGTCCCACGCACCCTCCTCCACAGCCGCAGAGGCAAGCAAGACACACACACACACGCAGGCGCCCACGTTGGCACCGCGGGAATTATTCACGCACTTTGGGTTGACTCCTATTCCTCCCCCCGACCCCCGCTACTGCTACCCGGCACGCACAGTGAGCTTCCGCGTTCGTCGCTCCAAACCCTTCACCGCCCACGCACACAGAAACAAGCAAAAAAAGCAACAACAACTTCGCTGCCACCGCTACTACGAACACTGATAGACGGCGCCCCTCGGCTCTGCCGCACTCCCACACCACAGACTAAACCCGCTACACCCCGCCAGGGGGGCGGGGGCGCGCTACATTGTTCCCTCCCAGCCGTACTTGCCCCCCGACCAGGGGGCCCCAATGTAGAAGTGCCGGTAGCGGATGTAGGTGTCGCTAGTTGGGTAGTCGAGCGTGTTGGGCTTGAATGCCTTGCGCAGCTCCAGCACCTTTTCCTTTGGGTAGTACTGCTCCAGGCAGTCAAAGTGGGCCTCTATCTTGTACTCGCAGCTGCCGCCTTGGGCCAGGCAGAAGTCGCGGGCCCAGCGCGTCTCGGGGCACCGCAGCCGGGGGTTTTGGTCGGAGCACGGCAGCGGCACACCGTGTTTCGGGTACTCCGTGAGGAGCTTTGGGAATGTCTTCCACGTCTCTATGCCCATCGTCGCCCGCCGCCTTGCTTTTGCTTGCTTGCTTGCCTCGTTCCTCTCCTCCTTCCCCGCGGGGGCACCGAAGCGGCGGGGTGAAAAAGCAGAAGGCAACGCGTGCGCCGCAGGAGTTGGCGTGAGCGGGGAGCACGCAAACAGACACACGGACAAGAAAAAAAAAAGACACCGCCGCCCGCCCAGCGCCAAAGCGGGGCGGGGGGGAAGGCGTCAAGCCAAGAACACAACAGGAGCAAAACAAAAACAAAAACAAAAAAAGGAAAAGGAAAAAAAAAAGACACAACCCGCCAACTGTGGGGAAGCGGGGCCAGATGCACGCACCCCCCACCTCCCACCGCTACTGATGCAACGCTCACCACCAGAAAAGAGTTGGTTTGCCGCGGAAAAAAACGAGAGGAACGCCCAAAGGCAAATGAAGGTAGGAGCCAAAAGGGCGGGGGAGTCAAAAGGCGCGTGCCGCCGGGCGCGAACGCTGGCCGTGCGGCGGCACGCAGAACGGGGTAGGGGTGGCGGGTCGTTAAACGAACAGTAAGAACACAAAGCAAAACACCATTGGACAGTTCATCCGGGGGGTGGGGAAGAGGACGCCACAACGCAATCGCACGGACACGTTCACACGCACGGAGAGAAGCAGCAAAAATAATAATATATGGCAGGCAGCTCCAGCCACGTCGACGCACACCGAGAGAAGGGGAGGCATATGTGGGGAGGGAAGCAAGAAAGAAAGGAGGTGCCGCGCGCACACGGCGCTCTGCTCTCCCCCCTCCCCACATTCGATTGCGTTTTTTTTTTGTGTGTGTGTGCGTGCGGCGATTAGGCACGTGGATGCACATTACAAAGGGGAACCCGCCATTCTCTTCGCTGGTCGTCGTGGCGTCGCCGCCACCACCCCCGCTCGCTGAGGAAAAATATATAAATATACATACATTTGTACATATATATAACCTCTTCCCCCCCCCCAAAAAAAAAAACACACACACACACGCGCAGACAGTAGGCATCCGTTTAAGATCCTCCAAAGAAGCACTTTTCGTGGGCGGGTATATGCACATAAACAGACAAAAACACACAAAAGCATGGAAATATAGATGTATCACAGCCGCGTACACAAATATCTTCACCTACACACACGCACACACACACACACACACACGCATACGCTCCAACTGCATATTTTCGTTTGGTGGGCTCAGTAGCGAAGTCAAGCTAACAGAAACAAAAATGAAAACATGACAGCGGTCTCCCCGCGACGTACATCGGTTACTCCTTGCAACCCCGCGTGCTGTAAGTCCGCGGGCGAGCAATGAACAAGTATGCGTTTACGGCAGAACAAGGCTCCCGGTAAACCGCAAGGAAAAGGTGGAGGAGGAGGAAGGGAGTCAAGACAACAGAAAAAGAAAGGGACAAAAAGAAAAAGAGAGGAGTCAGAGAGATAAAGCCGCCTGCGTACTATTATAGACTGCACATATATTGCTAGCGCCGTGCCGTGCACGGAATGCGCCACACGCGTGTACATGGATCGTGAGAGGAGGCAGGCAGTTACCTTGCACTTGGTTGTTTGTTCCCTAGTGCAGCATCCGCTGCCACTTTCTTTACATCCGGTTTTTATGTTATTATTTTTTTTCCCCCCCTCCTTTTTTTGCCTCTCCCTCTCCTCTTCTCTCCGCGCTTGCTTGTTTGTTTGTTTCTTAATTTTGTTCTCACGCGGCAACCCCGTAGATGGAGGCGCCGGTGCCAAACACGGTGGCGATGCACCCGACGACGAGCAGGAAGTACGTTGCAAAGTACAGGCAGTAGCCTTTGCGCTTCAGCGAGAAGTTGCCGGAGTACATGTACATAAGTGAGGGGAAGATGTAGCCGATGAAGCCGCCGCAGAGGGAGCCCACGAGCCCAAAGACAATGTTGATGTTGGGCACAAAGAGGCCGGCCAACAGCAGGACAAAGGACAAAAAGGTGCAGAAGACGGCGTTCTGCCACCACGGCATCAGGTACACGTCCCAGCCGAGCAGGTGGTAGATGCCGTCGCGCATTGGCAGCTGATGGAGGGCAAACGCGACGCAGATCTTAAAGACGATGCCAACGTACGCAATCGCGAAGAGAACGCTCTCCCCCGGCTGATACAAGAGGAGAATGGAGGCTGTTACCGTTTTCCCAAAGCGCATGTACCCAAAGAAGCCGGCCAAAACGTACAGCAACCCGCACGCGCCCATGGCGATGGCGCTGTCGCGCATCATACGACGGGGCGTAGGGTGCGACATCTCAAAATACACCTCAAACGCGTTAATTTGCACGAGGCACGCAAACATCACCATACCAAGCCCCTCAATCGCAGTGTTGCCATGACCAAACATCTCGAGGTCCTTGCGAAAGCCATCCTTGTAGGTGTACCTGCTTGCATCAATGACAATGCAGATCACAAAGAAGAGAATACAGAGGCACCCCAGCAGAGAGGTGTGCCGTAGGGAGTCGATCTGCTTTGGAAGGCACAGCGGCAAGATAAGTACCAGCCAGACCATACTCGTGATCAGTCGATTGCCGGGCTTGGTCGTCAGAAAGTGCGGGACCCCCTCATTCTCAAACACGGGCGTCAGCAAGTTCCCAATGGAAATGATGTAGCCAACACCCCCACCAATGCAAAAGCCGCACATGAAAATAGACACCAACCAGTCGGGGCCGCGGCCCATGAGGACCTTCATCGTGTCCTCGTAGGTGCGCTTCCTCGCGTTGTCGGAGCAGTGGGCGAGCAGCCAGAGTGAAAATACGGTCAGTATCGACACGACGACCAGCAGTATGATGGAGAGGATATACCCGGTCATGTTGAACGCAAAGGGCAGGCCAAGAATACCACCACCGAGCGTTGAGCTTCCAAGTGTAAAGGCGCTCGACAGCATGCTGCCGGGCGGAAAGATATACTCCAGAACTCGCTGCGCCAGGCCCGGCCTCTTTCGCCGCCTTATCTCGACAGGCGTCGGTTCCTCCTCGGCAAAATCCTGAAGCATACTGCCAATGTTCCTTGTGCTTCGCACCCGTTGAATACTTCTTCCCATGCTAAATTGCGACTCCGCAAACGAGTTGCGGCGGCCTATGCTCGGCACTTGGTCGGGGGAAGGCTCCCGGCCTGCGTCGAAGACTGGCTCCGTCCTTTCATTGAACACCTCCGGGCCTGTGTGTGAAGTGTGATGCATTGTTTAGAATTCGCTTCTCCGCATGCAACCGCTCGTCTCTCTCACTGTGCGTTTGTGTTGAGTGGAGTGAGGCAAAAGCAGAGAAGACGGAAAAGGGTGAGGCACCAACATCGAGAGGGGGGAAAGAAGAGAGCGGGGGAGCGGGCAGCCGTCGCGGGCACGCCCCCACACACACGTGTGTATGTGTGTGTGCCTGTCTGTCTGTCTGTGCGTGTGTGCGTGTTTTTTTTCCCCCGGGAAGTCCATAACAACCAGCCGGAAGGCGCACTGCGACGCGGACACACAACACCCCCGCCCTCCACTGGAACGACGGTAGCAAGGAAAAGGGCGAAGCAAAGAAAAAAAAGGGTGTGGGGGACCATTACTCCAAGGCAAGGAAACAAAAAAAAAACAATAAGTTAAAGCAAGAGTTTCACGCAAGGTAGGCAAAAGGGAGTCACCATTATCATGGCCGCCAGGGACGCCCATCCGTGTGCGCGCATTGAAGGGAATACATCCGCGAACGCACACACACGTACTCTCGTACACACTCGTACACACACGCACATAAATAAACACGACCTCAAGAGCACCACGGCCCCGCAGAGCCGCAGCGCCCAATTCATTCCCCCCATACCCTCCCACATAAGAAGAAATATATATACGAGCAAGAAGCACTGTTAATGCGCCTGGATATCTACCTACATCCGTGGAGTTACCCATCCACCTGAGTCTGCTACCTCCTTCGCGGCTCTCTTTGCATCCACCCACTTACCTCTCTCTCACTCTCCCTTTCTCGCCGCGTGGGTTTGCTTGTTGTTATCTCCATTGTTCAATCCACATGGGTCCTCGCTTAAGTTTCGGTTAAAATTACAACCGCCTCACGTGTTTGTACTGCTTCTCCTCTCCCCCCGCCTCCACCCCTCTTGTTACTTCTCAAGCCGTCGCTGAGGGGCCGACGCGTCCCTGCGCAAACGCCAGAAGAAACAGTTCTCACTGCATGCCCACGTGGGAGTTGTTCCCGCCACCGCCACCGCCCACGTCACATCGACACCCCCTTCCGCCCCTCGATGAGCTCGGCCACAATGCCTGGGTCCGCGAGGGTCGTGACGTCGTCAAGGTCGTCAAATGTGCCGGCGGCAATTTTGCGCAGGATGCGGCGCATAATCTTGCCGGACCGCGTCTTGGGAAGCCCAGACTGCGCCGGGTGGACGTGATCGGGCGTCGCCAGCGGCCCAATCACCTTGCGGACCGTCTCCTTCACGGAGGTGAGAAGCGCCTTGTCGATGGTGACGTGCGTGTGAAACGTGACGTACACGTAAATGCCTTCCCCCTTCACGTCGTGCGGGGCGCCAACCACGGCGCTCTCCACGACGGCGGGGTGCGTGTTCACTGCATCCTCCACCTCGCTGGTGCCGATGCGGTGGCCACTGACGTTCAGCACGTCGTCGACGCGGCCGGTGATCCAGTAGTAGCCGTCCTCGTCGCGGCGGGCCCCGTCCCCCGTCAAGTAGTACCCCTCCACGGGGAAATACACCTGCTCGTAGCGTTCACCGTCGCCGAAGATGGTACGGGCCTGCCCCGGCCACGGACGCTTGATCACGAGGAGCCCCTCGCCGGGGCCGTCGATCTCCTTCAGCGTCGTTGCGTCCAGCAGGCCCGGTTCGATGCCGAAGAACGGCAGCGTCACGCTTCCCGGCTTCAGCGGCGTGCAGCCCGGCAGCGACGTAATGAGGTGGCCGCCCGTCTCTGTTTGCCACCAGGTGTCGCTGATGTCCACGTGGCTCTCGCCGACCACCACGTAGTACCACCTCCACGCCTCC